CTGACCAGCCACGTACCCGGACGTTCAAGTCCCTATCTCGCAGACACATCCGTTAGATAGTGGTTATGCAATATGGAAGCTATGTTGAGCCCCGTTAGGGGAACCTGTTCAGCCCAATGTCCAGATGATGCAGATGATGCAAAGCAGAAACTCGCATTTCTTGCATCCCTAAAGCCTTCAAGATACCCAACCTTAGCACGAAAGCACTTTAAGCCGATTCCAAAAACGTGAAAAAACACAGGATTCTAGAGCGAAAATGCCCCCCCCCCTAGCTAACGCTACAGTTAGTATTAGTACTAACGGTACTACGGAATCATGCGAACCCTATAACACGCCTCAGCATGCCTCAGCACCTTCGGTGCGGGCGGACTTGGGGCTCCTGGCCTTCCTACTAACCATGCAGCAGGTTGTACCACGCTGGGCTTCTGCAACCAAGGATCCTGATGGATCACAGGGCCAGAGGAGGCTGTGATTTGGAGTGCTTCGCTGCAAGCAGGAGGGCTTTGATGACCGGGTACTACCACCATTTAGAAGGTTTAAAACAACAATACCTACAACGTTCCACCTTGCCTGGTCGAAAAGCATCTCTCCAGGGTTTTGGTTTTCCAGTAAGGGTGACTGTGTTGCACCATTTTGGAGGCTCCTTGTGGACCTGACCACCAATAATGCCAGGCTTAGTGGTCCAGCTATAATTGCGTGGTGTGAAACACACCATCGAAGCCGGAGGCATCGCCAAACGACATCAGCCGTGAGGTGTTCCTTGCCTGAAGTGGTGATGACCTTGAGTGGAAGTGACACGGTCTATGACTGGCTGATCATGGATTTTAGTCAAAACGGCATCTTGGTTCACCGGCATTCGACGGAGGGTCTTCGTTGTTTCTGGTGTCTTTTCTTGTGGCAACGTGTGTGTCCATGAACAATGAGATGACTCAAAGATGATGATTGTATCGGATCGGATCTACAGAGACGAAGAGTCATGAGACCAATAACGTCGTATAAGTCCCAGAACGGCCACATTGAAGGATTTGCCAACCGGCATGACCAGTTTTACTGACGGAAATTCCAAACACCAGTTGTAAATGGAAGGTGAGTGCACTCAGAATGTTACATTCTCCTAGTAATCATAATTAGTGCCACCACATGGTATCTTCTTGCAGCATGCTGCATGCTGGTATGGAGATTGACATCTATCGAAAAGTCAAAAAGAAATCTTTATGCGTGGTAAGACCCCACGTTTTTACACACGTCGACGGAACCGCCAGGTATGGGGCGTCTCACCACCTTCGAGGAGATTGTGCGGGTTTGCCACTTTTTCTTGCCCAACACCTTGGCCACCTGGCTATACCTGGTGAAACATGGATTCATGTGGGTGAAGTGAAACAGGAGAAAAAGTCAGAGGCAACACCCTTTCAGACCCTCTAAGTTTAGTATATGTTTAATAGTGTTGACCCCTTTCTGAACTTGTTTATGGTGTTTTTTGCTGTGTTGCTATTTGGGGTGCCTGCCTGGTCCCCAGTTAGGTGTTTTTTATCACTGCTTAGACCACTGTTCACCGTTCCAGCCTTCACAGATTGCTCGGTTTCATCCATTCCAGCCTTCTGAGACGAAAAGGGTGAGCATTAATAGCAGGTCTTCTTTCGGCACAGTGCTCAAGTCACAGGTCGGCTCGATTCCACACATTAGACCGTTAGACCACCGGGTAGACCGGGTCGGTCGAGTCTACGGGTAGGGTCCGCAGCCAACGCAGAGCAACCGACCGACCAATATGTGCAGAGTTTCGCCAAACTCTCAGGTGATGGTGATTTATAGCCGTGACATGGTGAACAAGCCTGGCAATTACCGTGACAAGAAGATGTACGAGACCTACAGGGCAGTTACTCGCGAGCGATTTTTCTGAGCTTCCGCTACGCGAGCGGGTGTATTCGCTTCTTCGGCGCGAGCGAACGGGTGAGGACGCCAAGTTTGTCCGAACTCCAAGAACACTTTACCGGTGGCAGGTCTTTTTGAGCTTCTGCATATGGGGCCAAGTGGAGAGAAAAGGCTGAAGAGGCGTAGAGTACTTGAGGCCACGGGACTGGAGACGTCCATTTCGCTTTTCTTCCTTCTTTGATATTCAAGTGTTCTTTTTTTCTGGTCTAAAGATCCCAGACCACACGAACGCAATCAACACGCACGATGTCTTGAGAGACCTCCTAAGGTAATGCTACCCCCCCAAGAAAAACACTGCATGGTTCCTTTATGTTCCTTTAATGATTCTTTTGACCATGGTCTTGTATGACAGAAGCTAGCCGTAGCCGGGAGTCCGCCGTGACCCAGGTTTCGAAACACTACAAGTTGCCATTCCTGAACTACGAGGCGGCGATGCAGAAGTTCATCAGCACAGGGGGTACCTTGGCCAAAAGTTCATCAGCTCAATTCAGATGTTGATTCAGACAATCTTCACATAGTCCGTGGTTCACTCATCGTTCCCCCAATCTTCTAAGTATTTGGAGTCATACAATGTCAGCGATACTTACACGTAGCATTACTGTATACCTGGATTCCAGAGGATGCTGGATGAAAGGGAATGACGGTGAGGCGATGTCCAGTGGTTGGCGGTTGGCTTAAACCACTGTCCGGAGACTTCCTTGCTGTCAAGCTTTGAGCCAAAGGAGGGCTGGGCAGCGCAGCTGAACTGCCCCAAGTCCCCGAGTACCGTATGTTATGAAAAAGAGATCCCCAAAGAACGGTGGCACCAATACAGTTACATATTAATAATCATTGATGTTCATACAAATGAGATTCCTTGTCTAGCTACTTGGGCCTATAGATCTTTAGATGATTGTATTTTGTTCTTTACTTTTGTGTGACCAGTTGTTTAAGATTCATTTTATGATAAAGATGAATAAAGTTGTTCTCGACTACATGGGCTAGAAATGGCTAGATCATGCATGATTTCAAGCAAATGTCAGTTTGTGGTCGTCTTTTGCCTTGCACAGCTTCCCCTTATTCAACCTATGTACTCAATGCACAGAGTATATTTGAACGTGCTTTCGAATCAATAAGGTTCATTCTTGAACGCCTGTAGGGTTTACTGCTGCAGAATATGTTCCCCTCTGCAAGGACTCCAAACAACAAAGCAACTCAATCTTAGTCGACTGAACGGCCTCACTTGTCCTGTTCCACGTGTTGGAAGCGGGGTCAGCACGATGAATCAGGGTGGCAAACCCGGTACTACGTAGCCTCCTGGTACAGTAGCTGTGGGTCATGGCACCAGGAAACCTACCTGGTGTCGGTCCTTTTCTACATGTTGGACTGGTCGGGCTCCAGGTTTTGATGTCACACAACCAGATACTCGATGTCATCAAGAAGTCAACATTCAACGTGGGTGGACATACTACCATTCCACAGGACCTTGAACATGTTTGCAGCTTGTGACTCAAGTACTCTCTATAGATTATTGTATTAGTTTGCGGGTCTCAGGAAATCGCACAGCTTTTCAACTGCATGGCTTAAACTGTTGACTGTTAATGCAACAGGTCAGGCTGTCACATCATTCTGCTGGGCAGCTATGTGCAGCCGGTGGCAATGAGACGTTTTTGAAAGCCAGAACATGATATTGTGATTCAACGATGCAACGGAAGATGATCCCCTGGTGGAACTATCTCCTACTTCATTTAACCAGGGAAATTGTCCATTGCCACACATTGTAGCCAGGGTTGGATATGTTCCAAAGACATGCTTTCAGCAACGAAGCAAGCCATGTTTTCAGCCGGGGTTGGATCTTTTCGCGGCGTGCGTGAGGTAACGAGACTCTGATGTGGTCGTCTAAGTCGAGACATCCCAAGTTCTCCGCCCATGCCTTCTATGCAGACATGCTCAGCTACTTTTGTGGCTTGGTGAATGCATCCGTCCCAAAGGTCGCCCCATCGAACGTTCAAAGGGACCCTGTAAGGCCGACCTGTGAGGCCGAGGTGGACGTGTTTTGGGGGGAATTCATGGTGTCACCCTCTTTGTGGAGCTTCAGCATGAGGAGAAGGAGCGCAAGCATGCGCGTTCGCGCTGCGAGGGGCAGATGCAGATTCTTTCAGTGGCTGAGACATGTCAAACATGGAGCACCAGCCGACCGACCTGGTTTCCGCCGTTTCCACCGACCAACACCCTCACACCCTCACGATCGCTTTTCCTTCCTTCAGGCAATCGGCAGTTGGAGGAATTGGAAAAGGTCGATGCCAAGTCGGACGTCTCCACCTTGATGCCCGTTCTGCGAAAGCCCCGTGACCTACAACCAGATCAGGAGAGAACAAATGCTTTTGTTGCTGAGTTGAAAAGAGCTCTGAACAGGTGGGATTTGTCCAGTTGGTCATAGTTTGTCCTGTTATGAGGTGTTGACGATATCACATAGAGAGAGAGAGAGAAGACCCCGGGGTATAGCCAATAGAAACCCAGAAGAAAAAACTTGTTGTGAGGTACATGAGACGCACCACTTACTGTTCATCATTATGTCTTCAAGTCCAGAGAGGGTGCTGGGTTTAATCCACAACAAATGCGGATCGTTTGACATGAGGCTTTTGACCAGCCTGGTGACTCAAAGGTGGCCGGTGTTTGGTTGCGTTTGCCTGCAGGTCAGTTATTTTTAGTCTATAGGATCAAGAGCCTTTTGGTGTTCATCAATCGGACGTTCAATGACTGGTGTTTACCGCAAACTCACCGACAGCGAGGGTTGGGGTTCGGTCAAGAACTGCTCCACTTCCTTAATGCATTTAGAAGAGCACACTTCTCTGACGCAAGCCGTTTCGTTCGCGCTATTAGCCTTGGAAACGCACGTGCCTTTGCGCGATGTGGCGGAAAGTGGCAATCGGCTTGCTGGTGGCATGTGGTCTAGTCCAAGTCTTGGATATCATGGTGCACGTTGCGACAGACCAGATCGAAATCCTTCGCATCATCGCCTGTGTGCTCATCATTCTTTGGTCTACAGTCTTTGTGGCACTGACATGCAATGGGATCTTGCTGCCAAAGATGATTCCCGTTCTTCTTTGCGTGGCTGCCTTGCTCATTTATTTGGTGCTCAACATTGTTTTTTTTGGTCGAGGAGCACTCCAACGTCAAAGCAGGGAGTCGATTTAGACAACAAGGCCTTCAATTGGGTCACAAGGTTTTAGCACCCCACTCATGTCCATAATGAGCTATAATGAGCTGACAGTTCCGTAAGTTTTCCAACCACCCGACAACCCGACCCATCATCCCTAGTACAGTAGTTATTGTTTTTGCTCAATTAGACTCTAAGAAACGGACAACTGCCAGCGAATTCCCCCTGTGGAGAAGGTTTGATGGGTCAGGATCCAAGCAGTTTCACTCAGTGAATCAAGAAAGATCAGGATTGACAATTGTGTTATGTTTCCACATGTTTTCGCACAGGCGTGAATGAGCATCAAACGTGAAGACATGCCATGTTGTTGATTGACAACTCAACAAACCATTGGTTTGCGGGTTTGACACTGTCTCAACAATCAATATGATGCACATAGTGATGGACATGCCCTGTTGTTGCGACTGTCCCAGCAAACTAGTTACAGTAGAGTCACATGCAAACAAATCAATCTATGTCACAATCCACGGGCCTCCCGCCAGGAGGGACTCACCAACGAGGGCCGCCCGCGGATCCCGCTCTTCCTCTTCGTCTTGATGACCTTGGGGCTGGGCTCGGCCGCTTACGCCACGTCCTTGAAGGCCACACCGGGCAGCAAGGCTCCTGCGCCGGCCGGCTATGAGCCAGAGCCTCAAGCAATTGGGGCTTGAAGTACCAGGTGTCGGGGGAACCCTGGCATACTGCTCACAGACCATGAGATCCAGAACATGAGACCCCGGCAGGGCCCACTGGATGTGTCAAATGTAGAACAATGCTAAAGCTGAAACACTCACGATATCCGTGCAGAGAAATCCAGTGAATGTCCTGTTCAAAGTGACCTTTAGCCAACAAAAGACGTTGGTCTGGTAAGTCTAGTATGTCTCTAAATTGTAAGATCAAATCGACACAAATGGATGTAACATCTGGGGGTGCAACCGCCTTGGCTGGTCACTTGAGAGCCGGTGGGTATGACCTGTTTTTCCAAACCCAAGAGTACCAGTCTGCAAAGTCCAGAATGGCGAGGACATCACAAATGTGATGATCGTCTCGGCGATTCCAACGAATCCTGAACCCGATTTTCTCACCCGTGAGAACCGGCTATGCAGATCCAATCAGAATCTTCTCAGCGAATCTGCAGAGCTTGGTCCATCGTCCTTTTCATATGTGTTTTTGGTGGAGTGAACTCATGTGATCTCTTTTGAAGAAACCTGTTGTTTAGGAAGAGGGACAATTGGCAATGCAGGATTCGTCGCCTTTACTGTAGCAGCTACCTCACCTGTAGCAAACCTCACAGGCTGTGGGCAAAACTCTGGGCGGCCAAAGATTGCACGGCCAAACGTTGTTGACGTGGTTCCTGGCGATGCCTTCCTGGAAGCCTTCTTTCCCTGGCGATGCCTTCCTCTTTGACATGTGGGTTCATGAAATTTCAAATCCCTAACCACTACAGTAAGTCAACCTGTAGACCAAGAGATTCGGAAGTCCTTAAGGTGTCATCCGTTCTGCATAGGAACAGCCTCATGCCAAGTCCCAAGGACGAGCTCAACACAGGTTTGCCTTGTTTGAGGCAAAGCGATCAACCAGTGTTTGTTCAGATATGTTAAAACCTCTTAGGTATCGACCCTCAGGAGCGACATTTACATATCAAGGGTTAATTTCAAGGGATCATGCGGAGCGTTGACCTCTCATTCGAGTCTTGCACTGCAGTTTTACGGGTTGCCTACAAGTCGGGATGACCTCACAGCTTAGAAAGAATGGGGTGGTAGGAAGGTTTTTAGAAGCAATGGCCTCCAACCTAAGAGCAATGGCCTCCAACCTAAGAGCGATGGCCTCCAATCTAAGAGCGATGGCCTCCAACCGAAGAGCGATGGCCTCCAACCTAAGAGCGATGGCCTCCAACCTAAGAGTGATGGCCTCCAACCTAGGAGCGGCCTCCAACCTAAGACCGATGGCCTCCAACCCAAGAGCGACGGTCTCCAACCTAAGAGCGACGGCCTCCAACCTAAGAGCGACAGCCTCCAACATAAAGGTGATGGCCTCCAACCTAAAGATGAAGAGGGTGTCACAATTTGTTGCATGTAACAGCGAAACCAACTCCAGCAATGCGATACAATAAAAAAGAGGCCAAACATGGCCAAACCCACCCCGGGTCTTTTTCGGCGTTCAAACAAATCAGCCATGATTTCGCCTGAACGGCCGCTTGGTGGTTGTTGGCTCCAGGAGTTCATCAAGCCTTTGCAAGAGAAAGTGGCTCAACGTTGGGGTGAGGACCTGGAGGACCTGCGAATGGAGAGTTCGACGGAACGTTCCGAACGTCCCAAAAAACAAAATGCGTGCTGCTTGGTGATGGGATCACCAAAAGTCAATGAGTCTCCAGAAATGGCCAGATACACAATTATCAGATTATCATGAGCTATATCACATATATATATATATATCATGAATGTTGTCATGAATCAATTATGCAAGTTGTTTCCTTTGGAGGGTTCTCGATTGCACAGATGTACATGCAGAACGTGTTCTGTCTTATGCAATAATTCACATGGTGTTGTTTTGTGTGTTTAGCTGTTGATGCAGATGTTGGCATGTGTTCCTTGTAAAGCCAACATCCAAATGCGCTGACTTCGGCTGGTCCATCGTCGATGTCAGATCATGCGATGTCCACCGATCGAATTCACGGACTAGCTCGTTGAAAGCCGATCGGGGTGGTTTGACCGGGACCGCTTACGTTTGTTTGGTTTGCGAAAGCATGTTTCGTTGAAGCCAAAGCAAGTGAGGCAAGTAGGGCTGATTGAAGCCAATGGATTGAGTTCAGGGATGTTCAGGGCATTTCAGGGCGATCATTCAGGGCAGAAATAGGAACTTATGTTTTTTTTGAGGTGATATTCTGTGTAGCATTGGAGTTCTCTTCCAGAAACGAACAGACTCAACCACCTGGCTTAAGGTATCACCAAGCTGATAGTTCTTCACCTAAGCTCGATAGGCAGCCAAAAGAGTGCGCATGTTTTCAGACGATGTAGCGGTCCCAGTGGATGTAGCGGTCAAAGCTTAACCCCTCAAAGCTTAACTCAGCCATTGACCGTTCCTTTGTCCGTTTTGGTGAGCTTGTTCCTAGTAGCCTCCTTGTTCCTAGTAGCGATGCACCTGTTACTAGTAGCTTCTTGTTACTACTATTAAGGCACTTGTTACTAGAAGCGATGCACGGCACCCAGGTGAGCTTGGCCAACATTGATGTGTGCGTCTTCCCGCTGACGCAGCACGTGGCCCGCGAGCCGTCGTCGTCGTCTCCACGCTCGAGCGCCACGCAGCAGTGGAGCTTGTATGAGGATCGACCCAATAAGCCGGGCTGGATCACCACCACAGCCACTCGGAAGACGTCGCGGCACCGTGCGGTCGCGGGAGAGACGACCGGAGAGTTTGTTGGGACTCAACAGCGGTTCTCTTCAAGGAATCCTGACGTGCCTGAAGAGGGTCAGGACCAAATAAAATGTGTTGGTGCCATTTTGTATTTCTGACCTCCTCCAATAAACCCCCGGTGCGGCAAACGAGTCTGTTTTTGATTGATGGAGGCTTTGTGTGCTGCAACGCAAAACGATTGGGATTGAGAAAAGGAACCGTTTCAGGGATAAATAAACAATAATATATATAATACACAATATAATAAATATATATATATATATATCCGTGAGCATTTTTTGGTGATCGTCAGTACTGCTTGTTACTTTAGATTTGTTTGTGGAGGCTAATTATACAATATATATAATGCTTATTCATGCATGCTTGTTTTTTTTCATTGGTGATTGTATTGGGTACATTCATCCTTGTCACAGGCCACACGGAGTTTAGGTCTCATTCAGCATTTTTAGTATTAGACAAATTGGCAACATGAGTGTACAGCTGCACCCATCCATATACACAGAACCGTTTTAGATTTGCAAAGCACATTGTGTTCTTTGATGAGTTGTTAGTTTTCGATGGAAACTGCGGCAGATTCTTTTGGAGACACAGGAGAATGGAGAAGCCATCTCCTTCAACATGACCTTTAGCAGCCGTCCCAAGCTTATGGTCCAATACCTACGCTCCTACAACAACATTGGAGATGCTGAAATGCACTTCGACTCCAGCTATTTGTGGATTTGGAAAGGCCAGAGAAATCTGGGGGTCCGGGACACCTTCACGCTGAAGGGCGCGTGGGCGGAGAAGATCTCGGTGACGCAAAATGCGCTCTTTACCAAAGAAAAGCTGAAACCCAACGTCAATGAGGTCAACACTGCGACGATCTCTTTTCGCTTGGCGAAGGGACCCAAGTTCAAACTGATCTCGCTGATATCCTGCTAGACTGCGAGGTGGGCCAAGCCCATCTTTGTGAGAAAAGCACCACCAGAGGCTGGTGCCACGTGAAGGACTCGCAGAGTGACATGCCTGTTGTTTGCCAGTCGAAGACTGGCCATGCCAACCGGCGGGGGTTGGCAAAGCCGCTGACGGGAGCTGGGGCAGAGTCAGAATCCATATTCTGGGGTAGGATTGGTGGCTGTACCCCAAGTGCTGGGGTATTTTCCGCTCTTTTCGAGTTGCCAATCATGTGGTAGTTTTGCGGAAGGCACGCTGCCGCACTCCCAATGACATGTGTTGTCACTGCGGGAAGTGGTGAAAACAAAGATTTGCGAGCGAGTATGCGGCCAAGAGCTTTGTGCCGACTGTGCTCCCTCACCCAGGCAAGAATGCAGTAACCTTTTTCTGCTTGAACCCTCCAGGAAATCAAACTTCACACCAAAAGTAAACCCAAAAATCAAGATATGTTTGTTTGCTCCCCTATGTACCCTTATGTACCCATGTTGCCCATGTTATTTGAGTGGAACCCTGCCCGGCTAGCAAGTGGCTCGCCGCTAGCGGCTAGTGGCTACGGCTAGCACTTCTTGGCAGGTGCGGAGAATCCCTGGGCGCCCGCAAAGGCCAGTTGGACCCTGGTGGGAGAGGTTCAAGTGAACATGTTATCAATATCTTTGGAGAGTGTGAACTGTTTCAACATGTTCCACTATAACACTTCCTGGACAAGGGAAAAAAAAACGATAAAAAGTATTGTTGGCTATTGTCGGCTTTCACTTTCTTCACATGCTTCACTATAGACCCATTGCACCCATAATTGGTTGACTGTTCCTTCAAGCAGCTTCCAAAACCTCTCCCCCAGTGCTCTCGATAAATGAGTAAATGTTGAAGGCAAAGACGGACCTTGGCTTGTTTGATATATTTTAATTTGCACATCCTTTTCTTTACCAAACTGTCCATTTGGCTCAGTGATGTCTATTGGGAGAATTCTATGGAATTCTTTGATTGTCCTAGGTACTTTAGTATATGTTATTCCGGTTGCCCGCACTGCCAGCACCGACCATGTGGAGTTCCCAGTGTGAGGTCCAGTCCTATCGTCCAAAGAAGAATGAGCTCCGTCCCCGTTCGCATGAAACGGAGCAGCCTCCGTCCCCAACCGTTGCGAGCAAAATACCTCGTTGGATCAGGTGACTCCTTGGGCGCCCGGCGGCTCAAGTGGGAACAAAGGGCTGCACCTGAAAACGGATATCCAACCGGGGGTGTTTCCATCAACAGTGGCTCTTGCGGCTTCTTGGTGTTGGAGAGCTTTGCTACTGTATTTAAACAGTATCAAAGAGTAGTAGTTTGTCAAGGCAATTTTTATTTTACCGTCGCGGAAGCCTTGGGCGCAGCATGTAACTACCTATTGAAGGTCTTGGGAGGATGAATATGAGTGAGCTGTCTTTAACCGATACCCAAATCCACAGTTGTCGGCTAAGTATGGTCAAGTCAAATGGGCAAATCTATTTGGGTGCTCCATGCATTGTAGTTCTAAACCTGCCAACTGTAGAATACCGAATCATAGCTATTAAACCTGTTCTTGTTTAAAGAGAAACAGGCCATAATGCCAGGCTGCTCTCAGACTTCGACTTTCGACACTCTCAGGTCAGAAAGCGATGAACGTCGAGGCGCTATGCGCGGCGCGCTATGCAGCGGCGCTGTTGCGTGGATCGTTGTGATTCACGTCGTGGTCGACTGCGCTGTTCTACGTCCATGGTCGGTGTCGGTGTCTTGTCTCCTGGATGTGTCCGCAGCTTTTTGGTGGCTGATGTTAGGACTGTTGGGAAGTTCTTTACTCCGCGTCCCAGCGAAGAGTATCCAGTTTCAGGTTTGGGTGCGGTTGGTCTCGTGATGATGGCGACAACGACGATGATTCTGGTGATGATGTGAAATCATATATCTATGACCTTCTGAACACTTGGATCCTCCAAAGGGATCCTTTTGTGTTTGGCCACCTCCATGTTAGTTGCTTGCAGGCTTTTCCCAAGCTTTTCCCTGGCCAGTCGAGCTCTTAGCAGCTGCAGCTGGCAAATGTTCTCAAAAAAGAGTCACTTCTATTGTAGATGTGTATACTGCATGCATGTATATGCTAGTCATATTTTATATTACTTGCATGTATATCAGTTGAGTCATTTTGCTTCGATGTTTCCTTGTTCCCAGGCGATCAACTCGGTTGTTTTTCCAATGCATAGAGATCAAGAAGTAGCTCGAACGCGGGCGACGACAGTGTCCTGCCATGTGACCAGGTCTTGAGCTAGAGTCTACTTACTAACTACATCATCTCAACAATATTCAAGCATGAAACATTGGTTAGTTTCTGAACGCTGGAACTATATCGGCATGGACACCCCAAGCAATGAGGAATGCACTTCTGTGTTCTGATGGTAAGTGCAAGGTGCGGGTTATTGAAGGGCACGGTTGCGGTTCTATGTGACCCACTAATTATTGCTTGGTAACTTGGTGTGACAACCCATGGTCGAAGAAACATTTCAAAAGCATATGTTGCAACTAAGAGAGATTCAACCAGTCTGTAAATAGATCTTAAACACAAAAGAACAATCAAACACTGAGCTATCCAAGAACCCTTCAACCACAACGAATTCCATGGGTTGACAGCTTAACCCACCAGACTAAGCAGCTCAGCTAGTCTCCATGCCCAAGGCCACCGGGGCCACTGGACCAGCCGCAGCCGGCGCGGACCACCCGCAGGCAGAGCTTGAGGGGTTTGCCGATAGTTGATTTAGTTGACCTTGACTTGACCTTTGAAGTGTTGCGTTACAGCAAAGCATATAGCTACTAGTAACAAGGGCTGCTAGTAACTAGAAGCGGCTAGCACCAAGGGCATCGCTACAAGCTTGTGGCCCAGTCCATACTGGGGTCGCGTTTAAGCATTGCGGTCACGTAAACATGGTGTTCGTCCACACATATTGGCCACCGCGAAACGACTTCCTTTCTACTACACGTTGATCAAGAATTTATCCTTTTGACAGCATGGGCTCCCAGGGGGTTGAAGGTAAATGTCCTCTATATAGAAGTATATGACTGTTTTGTCCATTGGAATTCTGGCATTTGATGCAGGTTTCCATTGCAATAGGGATCAGCGTTTACCACTCCATTTGTTCCACCCCCCGCTATTTGATTTAGGCAACTGTCTTTTGACCCCAGATTTTCACCCCGGATCGAACCACGGCCATCCCAGGCTGCAGCGGTATGGTCCTCCTCGCCACGTTACCAGTGACTGGTGCGACGAAACTGGCTGAGCCTGAGGAACCCGGCTAAAAAGTTGCCGCTTGATACTAGGTATAGGGGGCCATCGCTTGTATATAGCTTGGAGGCCATTGCTATTGCTACTTGATACTAGGTATACTAGACTCACAGTACTGAAACAGATCGCGTGACCTGATTCAAAACCAGTCATGGCCAGGCCGTCGCCCTGGGGCCTCTTGGCTTCCAATGGTAACCGTTGGAATCACTGAGGGTCTTTGTGAGGTCTTCGTTGTGATCTTGCTGGCAGTTCTCTCTAGACGAGTATTATAAACCAGCAGAATACACCTATGAGTCAATGAGCGTCTTCTTCTTCACTTCAGGGAGTACTATTTGGAAAAAATATGGTCCATGAGCTAGTTGCTTGCCCGTGGCTCATTCTCTTCTTGGATGGTTTTTCTCCTGATTCTTGCTTGCTTTGCTGTTCTTCTTGCTGAACTTTTCAGAAACCATATACTTTATTGCAGGGTTGTTCCACATTACCTGTGTGCGGAGTGCTGTGCAGGCCCCAGCTAGCGCTTGCGAAGCCTGGAGGTTTGGAGGGTTAATCTCTTGATGGAGGGAATCCTGCATCAATGAGAGTGGGAAGCTTCTTGTTACTAGTAGCGATGGCCTCCAACCTAGTAGCGATGGTCTCCAACCTAGTTGTGATGGCCTCCAACCTAGTAGCGATGGCCTCCAACCTGCATCAATGAGAGTGGGAATACTGTACTTCTTAACAAAACATGGATGGCTATGGATGGCCTGTGTGGGAAAGCAGGCCAACACAGTGTTTGAGAGTGGCTGAGGGTGAACGTGTTGGCCCGGGCCCAGCGCTCTTTCTCTCGGCAAGGCATGGCAAATGACTTGACCCTGATGGGTGTACTGTCTCACCATCTAGCGAACATCCCGAGAATTGGGGACGTGTTGGCCAAAAGAAGCGAACCGGTGTCTGGGCGACTCGAAGGGTGTCATCGTTGGGCCTGCTTGGAATGGTGTGATGTCAGCTAAGCATGAATCCGCTAGACACATATCGTTCAACAGAAGCCACATAACATAACCCAGCTTTGCTACCCCCAACAGGATGTGCGAGGCCAAAATGTCTTAAAGCAGTTCGCAATTGGCAAATCCATGTTGTCCCCCCTTTTACCCTGCTTTTTTTGCTGTTCATGCTGTTGAAATGAATTTCGCAGAAGCAACTATGTTTGGTGGCCTTGTGATTGCTTGTTTGCAGGACTCTTGCAGCCGTCACATTTGTTTGTGGAATGCACATGGCCAACTAAGAGAAAGAACATTAAAGAACAATAAAGATATTGACATGGCACGTGTGCCTCGCGCAAAACACAATTCGCAAGCGCACAACAACTTTCTCACATCATATACAGTACCTGCGCTGTGGAAATTCTGTGTTTCCATAGCACCGGGTGCAGCCCCCAGCACGCAGGTACATGGGTACATGGCCCTCAACACTCCAGGTACATAAGTCCCAGCCGCCCTCAGCACTACCCCTTTGCCATTACACAGCTTCCGGCCCTGCTTTGCACTTGAGGTAGACAACATATTTGGTGGCCCCCTCGGCAATCCAGCTACAGTCCTCCTTCCCCTAGCTCAGCTACATGGCTGGAAAGGAGCTGGCGGGTTCCAAGGTATGCACCAAATGTCGCCCCGAGATTGAAACCCACCTGCATTCTGTTGGGAACTGTGTCCCAGAGTCATAGACCGATGAACCGACGGCTCGGGTACGGTTCGCATTTGTGGAGCACATCTTCATAGAGCAGAATTCCAATGCTTTGGACAATAGCAGGAGACACTGCTCGTTGCTATTTTAGGTGGGCGCTCAGAACAGCCAAAGACACGGCCAGACCTGGTCATGAAGAGCGCCTGGCCAATCTAAGATCAACTGATGGGGTGCAAATGCAAGGTCAGAACTGTCAGTGATCCTAAGACAAACAACCAATTGAGCAGGGTTCAAAACCTCTATGCCCTAGGGATCCAAGTACCTCCTCAAAAGGTACTTGGACCCTCCAAACCCACCCCAAACACCTTCTCAGAGGGTACTTGGATCCTTAGGGATGAAAGAACCGCATGATCCGATTTGGTTAAAACCGCTGGACCGAAGACGACCACGGGTCCCGTGTGGAACAGGAACGAGATCGAGATCGGTCTATCCGA